ACACCGCCCACCATCATCCACTACCACCATCATCACACCACCACCATCATCACACCACCACCATCATCACACCACCACCATCATCCACCACCACCATCATCACACCACCACCATCATCGCACCACCACCACCATCACACCACCACCATCATCACTACCACCACCATCACACCACCACCATCATCGCACCACCACCATCAATCGCACCACCACCATCATCACACCGCCACCATCATCACACCACCACCATCATCACACCACCACCACCATCACACCACCACCACCATCACACCACCACCATCATCACACCACCTGCATCATCACACCACCATCATCACACCACCACCACCATCACACCACCGCCATCGTCACACCACCACCATCATCACCACCCCCACCACCATCACACCACCCATAAGCCATCACACCACCACCATGTCACACCACCACCATCATCACACCACCACCACCATCACACCACCACCATCCACACCCACCACCATCCACCACCACCACCATCACCACCACCACCGTACACACATGTACTACCACCATCATCACACCACCACCATCATCACACCTCCACCACCATCACCCCTTCACACTCACCATTAGCACTTCAACAAACTCACTTAAACAAAGCTTCCACTAAGTGCTTATTGACCCAGTAATGTACAGTAAATGTGATAAAAAACTGCTAACATCTTTCACAGTTTTCTCGAGTGTGTGTGTGTGTGTGTGTGTGTGTGTGTGTGTGTGTGTGTGTGTGTGTGTGTGTGTGTGTGGTACTAATCGTAGTTGTGTGTGTATATTAGGTTGCAGCAACAATGGACAATACTTGTACATACACACAAACACCAATACCCCCCCACACACACACACATACACACACACACACACACACACACCACAAGGTCAACAATACACAAATCATACTCCATGATACACAATGTTTACACTCACTCCACGACCAAACATACGGTACAGTACACATCTAGTCCTTAGTTCAACCTGGCTTGACCACCTTGAACTAGCCTGCCCCTACCAGCACCACCCACAACAGGTTAGGTTGTTAGGTGAGCGTAAACTTAGGCTAGGTTAGGATAGGATAATCTCACTATTTCAGTGTGTACAGTGAAACCTTTAATTAACGAACTACATAGAGAAAACTCCGTTATACCAAGGTCTGTTAGACGTGAAATCCCCATCTAACGAACTACAAATATATATAGATGAAAGTTCGTTATATGGAGGGTCCGTTAGATGTGAAACCTCAATTTTCAGGTGATAATTATATTACGTTATACAATACCATTCATAAAACAAGGTGTGTGTGTGTTTGTGTGTACATTAGGTTGCAGTACCACGGGACAATAACTACACACACATACTTGCTTGCCTATGCCGGTCCATCGAAGTCGATGACGACGTTGCTCCAGATGAGATGATTGATGAGTTAGGTGTTATTCCTCTGGTGCCACCGTAGATGACTATAGAGTCCAATCCTGGAGGAGCAGATCTTGTTGAATAGGTGACAGGAATGTTGTTCATTGAGAGAAATTATGCCTTGAGCCCTCTGATGTCGTTGGGCTCGTTTAGTAGCTCTCTTTTGGTTCAGTGAGGTCTCAAGTGTTTCCGGTCCTCTATGGCATGTTGAGCGCCATAAGGAACGGTCTGAGGCTAGTTGCTTCAGTGAATTTGGTTGTATATTACAGCACTTGAGAAGAGTTTTAGAGTGGTCCTTATATCTCTTTTTCTGTCCTCCGGCCGAGCGGTTTCCATGTGAGAGCTTGGCAAATAATATTTGTCTTGGAAGCCGGTGGTCTGGCATCCTGATAACATGTCCAAGCCAGCACAAGTGTCTTTTGGCTAGCATGGTTTCAATGTTGGTCGTGTTTGAGCGACGATATAGTTCTTCACGAGTCACTCTATCTTCTCAGGATATTCCAAAGACACGCTTAAGGCATCTAGTGTGGAAGTTTTTCAGCATTAGGATATGGCGTTTATAGGACGTCCAAGTTTCTGGGGCATATAATAATGTAGATATACAGACCGCTAGATAAACTGCAGTCTTCACTACACACACACACACACACACACACACACACAGTCATCTCCCATCGTTATACACAAGAGATTCTTTTAAGTGAGATTTAATTCCTTAATATAACACAATTTGTTCCTTTCTATTGTGTTTGTGTCTTTACGCCAGGATGCTGTTATGGCCGGGTGTAGTGTTGTTATAACGGCTAAGATTCAGCTTATTAGGATCAGCTTACCTAATTTTCTCTGTACACTAAACGTCTTATTTCATCGTTATTTTGTATGTAATGAACAGATACATACACAAAAGACATAGAAAACGTGAGGTAATAGGGAGGAGGAGGAAGAGGTTGGACTATAACCTTTCCACTCTCACCTGGCCCGTAAGCCACACCCCTCGTCTGTAGCGACAAATAACTGATTGGTTCCCCTGAGCGTCTTACCCCCCCCCCGAACTGTTCTGTACAAGCGTGTATTTACAGGTATATTGACCTTTTATGATAAATATTTAAAAGGTTCTTACATCCTCTCTGAAGTGCTAATGCCTTGAAATCATTTGCATTTTGATAGTTCAGATAATTATTTAACATCATTTTAGATAATAACAGTTCTGCTTACCAATTGTGAACACATTAAGTTGGAATTTTCTAGGAACCAATCAGTTATTAGTACAGAAAAGGGGCGTGGCTTATGGGCCAAATTAGTGTGGAAATACTATAGGTGAAAAGTGGCTCCAACTCCCTCAGCGATATTAGATAAGAGAGCGAGGTAGCCCAGGGCGACACAGTACACAGAGTGGCGGTGCCGAGACTCTGTGTAGGTCTCAGCCCCACCCTGGTCCACCTTGGTCCACTCTATTCCACTCTTGTCCACTCTATTTCACCCTGGTCCACTATATTCCACTCTGGTCCACTCTATTCCACCTTGGTCCACTCTATTTCACCCTGGTCCACTATAGTCTTGGGGGCATTTGGCTATCTGTGGCTGGACTAGTTTCCCCTGAGTCTTGGTTCACCTGGACAGGTAAAGGTGGGTTGAATATTTTGTCCCCTGTGGTTGTGTCTTGGTCCTGATGGCAGCTTTCTTTATTTCCATCCTCTGTGGTGGTCATCTTTCCTTCTTTTTTTTTATTCACTCTCTGGTGGTCATATTTCAGTGACTGTATCCTTTGGCCATATCCATCACAGATGATTGTCTGTTTCGTATGGCTGGAAGTGTGTGTGTGTGTGTGTGTGTGTGTGTGTGTGTGTGTGTGTGCGCGTAATAATAATAATAATAATAATAATAATAATAATAATAATAATAATAATAATAATAAAAATAATAAATGGTTTATTTAGAGAGTTGCAGCTGGTGGCCGAAAATATACAAGCTTACGTGTGATTTAGACATAATAATATACGTTCAATACATTTACAGGGCTGTACTGTACTGTACATAAATCAGGAGCTGTTTATTATTTTAACCAATGTGTGTGTGTGTGTGTGTGTATTAATAATGACTATAAAATCCTATACAGGTCAAGAGATTCATTAATCATCATCTTATCATGTCGGTCTAAAGTGAACCGTAGCAGACGAGGGAGGTCAGGAGGAGGGAGGAAGAGGTGGGGGAGAGAGGAAGGAGTGGGAGAGATGAGAGAGGGAAGGAGTGAGAGAGAGGAAGGAGGTGGAGGAGGGAGGGAGAGAGGGAAGGGCAGGGAGGAGGAAGGAGTGGGGGAAGGGAGGAAGGAGTGGGGGAGGAGGAGAGAGGGAGGGGTGAGGGGAGAGAGGGAGGGTAGGAGGAGAGGGAGGGGGGAAGGAGTGGGGGAGGAGGGAGTGGGAGGGAGGGAGGGAAGGAGTGGGGGGAGAGAGGGAAGGGGTGCGGGGAGGGAGGGAGAGAGGGGAAGGAGTGGGGGGAGAGAGGAGGGAGGAGAGGGAGGTGGGGAGGAGAGAGGGAAGGTGGAGGAAGGGTGGAGGGGGAGGGAGAGGAGGGAGGGTGGGAGGTGAGGGGGAGGAAGTGAGGGAGAGGAGGGTGTGGGAGGAGGGAGAGGAGGGTAGGGAGGTCAGAGGGAAGGAGTGAGGAGAGGAGAGGAAGGAGTGGGGGAGGGAGGGAGGGAGGGTAGGAGTGAGGAGGGAAGGAGTGGGGGAGGGGAGAGAAGGAGGAGGGTGGGAGGTGAGGAGGTGAGGGAGAGGGAAGAAGGAGTGGGGAGGGAGGGAGAGAGGGAGGGTAGGAGGTGAGAGAGGGAAGGAGTGAGGGAGAGAGGGAAGAGGTGGGGAGGGACGGAGAGGAGAGGATGGGGAGTGAGAGGGAAGGAGTGGGGGAGGGGAGGAGAGGGAGGTGGGAGGTAGGGGAGGGAGAGGAGTAGGGAGAGAGGAGGGGAAGGGGAGTGGGGGAGGGAGGGAGAGAGGGAAGGAGAGGAGGGGAAGGGTGAGGGAGGAGGGAAGGAGTGGGGGGAGGGGAAGGGAGGGGGAGGAGAGAGGAGGTAAGGAGAGAGGGAAGGAGTGGGGGAGAGGGAGCAGGAGGGAGGAGAGGGGGAAGGAGTGAGGAGAGAGGAAGAGGTGAGGGAGGGAGGAGGAAGGAGGAAGGAGTGGGGGAGAGAGGGAGGGAGGGGTAGGAGGTAGAGAGGGAAGGAGTGTGGGAGAGAGGGAAGGAGTGAGGGAGGGAGGGAGAGAGGGAGGGTAGGAGGGAAAGAGGGAATGAGTGAGGGAGGGAGGGATAGAAGGAAAGAATTAGGGAGTAAGGAAGGGGGGGAAGGAGAAAATAAATGGTGGGAGGGATAGAGGGAAGGAGGGAACAGGAGCATACACATGTATCTAATAAGGAATATTGCACCGCTACCTGAGTCCTAGAAACGAAACAAAGGAATGTTTACCCTCCAAACAGTGTGTTGCTATCCATTGTGCGCATGCGTACCATGGTCAGGCTGGCGGGCGGTCAGGTTGGCTACCATAGTGGTCTCAGTCAGGCACTCAACGTCAGCTGTGGCAAGGAGATGGTCGTGCTTCGGGTCGACGTCTGACTTTGTGTAGCTAAACGCCCACACACCCGCTCGGACGCCCACACACCCACAGAAACTCTTCATACGCGTCTTGTACCATGGGTTGGCCTCCTCCTCCAGGGCTCTTGGTCATCACAGGTAACGTACAGTAGTTGGCTTCTCCCGCGCTTCATAAGAACATAAGAACATAAGAAAATAAGGAGTCTGCAATAGGCCGGTTGGCCTGTGCATGGCAGCTCCTGTCGAGAGTTACAACCACTCTCTATCATCCATGAATCTATCTAGCCTCCTTTTGAAACTTTCCAGAGTTCCCGCACTTACTACAAAGTTGCTAAGCTTGTTCCACTCGTCCACCACCCTATTTGTGAACCAGTTTCTTCCTATCTCCCTCCTAAACCTAAACTTATCCAACTTGAATCCGTTGCTCCGAGTCCTATCCTGCTCGGATATTATAAGAACTTTATCTATATCCCCTTTATTGATTCCTTTCACCCACTTAAATACTTCTATCATATCTCCCCGCACTCTTCGTCTTTCTAGGGAATGCAAGTTAAGTTTCTTTAATCTACCCTTATTGCAACTATATCTTGCGCTAGTTAGGCCGCACCTCGATTATGCGGTTCAGTTCTGGTGCCCTTATTATAGAATGGATATAAATTCACTAGAGTCGGTGCAGCGAAGAATGACAAAAATGATTCCGGGACTTAGAAACCTTCCATATCAGGATAGGTTAAAGAAACTTAACTTGCATTCCCTAGAAAGACGAAGAGTGCGGGGAGATATGATAGAAGTATTTAAGTGGGTGAAAGGAATCAATAAAGGGGATATAGATAAAGTTCTTATAATATCCGAGCAGGATAGGACTCGGAGCAACGGATTCAAGTTGGATAAGTTTAGGTTTAGGAGGGAGATAGGAAGAAACTGGTTCACAAATAGGGTGGTGGACGAGTGGAACAAGCTTAGCAACTTTGTAGTAAGTGCGGGAACTCCGGAAAGTTTCAAAAGGAGGCTAGATAGATTCATGGATGATAGAGAGTGGTAGTAACTCTCGACAGGAGCTGCCATGCACAGGCCAACCGGCCTATTGCAGACTCCTTATTTTCTTATGTTCTTATATTCATATTCAGTAAAGTCGTCATACAAATTTACACTGAATCATACATCTCAACCATACATTATCCCAGATGATTTTACTGGCCACTAATGTATATTGTTGCCATTTATATTACCTTGACTTGATATAGTTTGGACTGCTTAACATCTCGTATTCATATATATATATATATATATATATATATATATATATATATATATATATATATATATATATATATATATATATATATATATATATATATATATATATATATATATATATATATATATATATCGGTTCACCTCCCCCACACAAAAAAAATCCAAGATCTGAAGTTTAATAATTGTTAAAATATAATATACACCTAATAATTCACAAATGTGATATCCTTATAATTCTATTTAATTTATAAAATAGTTCCGTAATTTTGTAGTGTAATTCTACCCAAATTTTGACAGAACAGGTGTTTTTGCCAATTAGTATACAGTATATATACAGGAAATCATGGCGACCTGTTGCGTAATGGTCAGTATGCTCGCCCCGCAAGCGAGTGGACCCGAGTTCGATCCCCGGGCATGGTGAAGCTTTGGGCAAGTTTATTTACGCCATTTGCCTCTGTCTACCCAGTAGTAATTGGGAACCTGGATGTTATTCGATTTGCGGATCGTTTTCCGGGGTAATAGTTAGCCAGTGCAGTTGGCGAGTTATCCGGTCTTCTCGGACTGTTACTTGACACTGGGTCATGCAACTCGTTAACTCAGGGTGTGGTTGTTGTGTTGGCGACAGCTTCTACACCTTAAACAAATACACCCCTTGGTGACCCTAGGGCCGGCCATCCTCGTTCTCGAGGGGCAACCATTAGTATATACAGGTAAATATTTTTGCGTCATGATAGCTTTAAGCACTAAGTCAAAACTGTATGTGAGATATATAGATGAGGAACACCCGTTAAAGAGTCTATCCTTCTACAGTGACGCTGCTGGGGTGGTGTACAGTGGAGGTAGTAGGTGTAGGGTGTGGGGTGCCTGAGGGTGACCATGAGCGTGTTACCACCGGACTCGGCGTCACCCTCTACACCTGCAATAAACCGGATATAGAGACTTGGACTACGGGTGACCGAGTCCTCACCAGCATGTGTCAGGAAACTATGATGGCCTCTTGTGGTAAGGAACCTGCTGACGATCTTGAGAGAGAGAGAGAGAGAGAGAGAGAGAGAGAGAGAGAGAGAGAGAGAGAGAGAGAGAGAGAGAGAGAGAGAGAGAGAGAGAGAGAGAGAGAGAGAGAGTATAATGGTCTGGACATACAGGGAATGACACGGGTCAGATAAACAAATAAGAACACATTTACAATATAACTCTAACAAAAGTATATCAGAGAAGAACTGAAAAAAAGGGAGAATGAACGAGACAAATAATTCCCATAAATAACTGTACAGTAAGTTGTTTGGACGATACTAGACTCCACTACACGATCAATGAATACAACTAAGTTACATTAAGATAACTACAGGTCTTTAATAGCATCGGATCAATCTTCTTTTGTCCAGTTGAACATGAGATGCAGGCTCCTTGTGAAGGACCTCCGCCACCGCCTCCAGCCTATTCAGTGGTGGTGGAGGACTTGGGATACTCCACGTTTTACGGGTGTGAGGCAGGGAAGAAGTGGCTGTCAGGCTACCCAGGTCAGCTGTCTCAATGTATCAACGGACAATGGACCTCCATCATAGACCAGTGTGAGGAAGGTGAGAATAGTAATAATACGTTTGGGTACTATACTTAATTAGTGTAAAGGTTAGGTTAGGTTAGGTTCAGCTTAACTTATACCGGTGTCTCAATGTTAATTTAGGACCACAAGTTCACGGTGGACTAAAAACGAAAACTTGTGTTGGGAAAACCTTTATGATACGCCCCCCCCCACCAAAAAAAAATTAATAAATAAAAAAAAATAATAAATAAAAAGAATAGATTTAAATATATCAGTAACATAAAATTATACAAAACTCGTTAAAAAAATATTATCAAATTAGGTCGCATAAAATATACACCCCGTATAAACAGTTCACGAAATTCCATTATTTTTCTCTGAGGATTTTTTTACTTAATTCGGCTGACCAATGTAAGTGGGGTGGGTATACAGGTGTGCAGACAGGTATGCAGACAGGTGTATTGCTTGTAACTACCATAGGGCGTTATATGAAGATACAGTTGTGCAAACATATGTACGGGTGTGCAGACAGGTGTACAGACAGGTATATTGCTTGTAACTAACATAGAGCATTTTAGGAAGATACAGGTGTGCAGACATGTGTACGGGTGCGCAGACAGGTGTACAGAGAGGTATATTGCTTGTAACTAACATAGAGCATTTTAGGAAGATACAAGTGTGCAGACAGGTGTACAGACAGGTGTAGTGCTTGTAACTACCATAGTGCGTTATAAGAAGGTACAGATGTGTTGTCCTCCTACAGAGTGTGAAATACCCAGGGACTGCTCAGAGGCGACTCAGTACGGCTTCACCACCTCCGGCCTCTACTCGGTGTTGGCCTCAGGTGACCGCAATGACTCATCTGTGCAAGTAAGAGCTAAGAATAGTCTCACAGTCTCTTCTTGTCGTTTATGTTAGCCTTCTTCCCTCAGTGTGTTCAAGTTTTAAGTTTTGTCGAAATGTAAGTTTTTTTGGGGTGTCTAGGTTAGCTTAGGTTAGGTTAGATTTGGTTAGGTCAGTGTTCCGGTGGTTAATCTCCATTTGAAATATGCTGGGGTGTTTAATCTTCATGTTAAGTGAGGTTAGGTTAGGTGAGGTTAGTGTGTTTAATCATCAGATTTAAATAAACTGTATTAACCTAAACTTAACATGGACCTGAATTACTGCACTCGTCATGATTTTTTTTGACCCTAAACACAAACACATTTCATTGGCATTTCTGTGATACAGTTTTAACCGTGGGAACAGTCAATATCAATCAGAAAACTAACCAATTTCCTGGCTATATCATCACGACACCATTACCGCCGTTAACAAGTGCTAGTATACTCGTAGCGTTATTGGTCTTGCTCCGGGTAAATGCTTCATCGATTTGCCTATGGCTTTTGATGAAGGAGAATTTGTAAAAGTAAGTCACGGTGACAGGTAATGTTTGGACGATAAAGAACTTACCTCTAGGTTTATTGAGACTAATATATCAACACCTGGAGGGAGAGAGAGAGAGAGAGAGAGAGAGAGAGAGAGAGAGAGAGAGAGAGAGAGAGAGAGAGAGAGAGAGAGGAACAGCCAGACAGAGAAACAGACAGAAAAGCGCACAGGAAGACACATACAGACAGCAAAGAAACAAACATACAAAAATCAGACAGAGAGACAGACAGCCAGACAGGAGGTGTGAGAGGTGAAAGGGTGAGTGTAGTTCATCATCATAATCATCATCATCATCATCATCATAATCATCATCATCATCATCACTCTCTCACAACACCTGGATACAAATAAAGCTTTTAACCTGACTAAACACACCTAATACCTGACAAATTGGCCACACCCGAGGCATATGATCGTGAATTAAACCTTTATAAACCGAGTCACACTAAAACGGCTGCCACTCAGGTGCTAGTAAATAATGTCATGGCTTTCTCACTGAACTACTCTTACCGGGTATGCAAATTACAGTGCTTGAAAATACCAGTAAAAGATTTTAATTGACGTTGATTTTGAGAAGTTGTTAAATGTGTAGAGGATTATATATTTTTTTTAAAGATAAGTGGTGTTAGCTGTGGCACTGAAAGGCACGGAATAGCCACATCCCTCCAGTGCCACATCCCTCCTGCGTCATATACCTCTTGTGTCACACCCTCGACCACATGCCGCCTGTATTACATACTGGGTCACATATCTCGTGTGTTACACCCTCGCCCACATCCTGGGTCACATCCGTCCTGTGTCACATCGTCGACCACATCCCTCCTGTGTCAGACCCTCGCCCGCATCCCTCCAGTGTCACATCCTGGGTCACATCATTCTTGTGTCACATCCTCGACCACATCTCTCCTGTGTCACATCATGGGTGACATTCCACATGTATCACACCCTCGGCCACACCCCCTCTTGTGTTACATCCTCTACCACATCCCTACTGTGTCACATCCTGAGTAACATCCCCCCTCTTGTATCTCACCTTCATCTACATCCCTCCAGTGTCACACCCTCGGCCACATCCCTACTGTGTCACATCCTCAGCCACATCCTTCTTGTATCAATAAGCAAATCAACCAATCATTCAACTAACCAACCAGTCACCAGACCAATCAATCCACTCAACCGAATATTCCACCCACCACTCAACCAACCACTTAATCAACCATTCCACCTAATGCACTCAATCATTCAACCAACCAATCCATCCAACCACTCAACCAACCAATCCACCCAACTACTCAACCAATCAATCCACTCGACCACTCAACCAACCAATCCACCCAACCACTCAACCAACCAATCCACTCGACCACTCACCCAACCAATCCACTCGACCACTCAACCAACCAATCCACTCGACCACTCACCCAACCAATCCACTCGACAACTCAACCAACCAATCCACTCGACCACCAACCAATCAATCCACCTGACCACCAACCAACCAATCCACTCCGACCACTCAACCAACCAATCCACTCGACCACCAACCAACCAATCCACTGACCACCAACCAACCAATCCACTGACCACCAACCAACCAATCCACCCAACCACCAACCAATCAATCCACCCAACCACTCACCCAATCAATCCACCCAACCACTCACCCAACCAATCCACTCGACCACCACCAACCAATCCACTCGACCACCAACCAACCAATCCACCCAACCACTCACCCAACCAATCCACTCGACCACTCACCCAACCAATCCACTCGACCACTCAACCAACCAATCCACTCGACCACTCAACCAATCAATCCACTCGACCACTCAACCAACCAATCCACTCGACCACTCAACCAACCAATCCACTCGACCACTCAACCAACCAATCCACTCGACCACTCAACCAACCAATCCACCCAACCACTCAACCAATCAATCCACCTATATTTTTTGAACACTTTTAGTTTTACGTGAGTCCTAGGACACTATCGACGCCATTTTGTCCATCATCTAAATTATGTTGTAGCGTATGTTAATAATAATAACAATAATAATAATTTACAGCAATAATAACAATAACAGCATCAAAATTAACAACACAAATAACAATAACAATAAAACAGCAACAACAACATTAACAATAATAAAAACAAAAATAATAACAACACTAATCGTCAAGGCTAATAATTAACACCGCTGACACCTGCTGTACTTCACCAGGTATATTGCCTCCTGGCCAACAGTACTGGTGACTCAGGGTGGACGCTTGTACTCAATGTCACCGCCAATCCTCTCGCACCCACACCTCTATATAACTACCAGCTGAGCATCAAAGACCCTCAACAACCAAATTACTTCATAGGTCAGTTGATTTATATATTAACTAAAAAGAAGAATGCTATACTATTTTATTATATATTTGAAGAAAAATCAAGTAACATATTTCTGAAAGTTATTTTTTTAAACCTTTTCTATTTATTTATATATATATATATATAATTTATATGTTCTGTGGTTATTAGGATGGAACAACCTGTTAGCTCTACACCAAACCAACCGTACACAGGTATACATGGTGAGTATTAAGACCTTACACACAGGTATACATGGTGAGTATTAAGACCTTACACACAGGTATACATGGTGAGTATTAAGACCTTACACACAGGTATACATGGTGAGTATTAAGACCTTACACACAGGTATACATGGTGAGTATTAAGACCTTACACACAGGTATACATGGTGAGTATTAAGATTACACACAGGTATACATGGTGAGTATTAAGACCTTACACACAGGTATACATGGTGAGTATTAAGACCTTACACACAGGTATACATGGTGAGTATTAAGACCTTACACACAGGTATACATGGTGAGTATTAAGACCTTACACACAGGTATACATGGTGAGTATTAAGACTTACACACAGGTATACATGGTGAGTATTAAGACCTTACACACAGGTATACATGGTGAGTATTAAGACCTTACACACAGGTATACACAGAGTATTAAGACCTACACACAGGTATACATGGTGAGTATAAGACCCTACACAGGTATACATGGTGAGTATTAAGACCTTACACACAGGTATACATGGTGAGTATTAAGACCTTACACACAGGTATACATGGTGAGTACACACAGGTATACAAGACCTCTACACACAGGTATACATGGTGAGTATTAAGATCTACACACAGGTATACATGGTGAGTACAAGATTTACACACAGGTATACATGGTGAGTATTAAGACCTTACACACAGGTATACATGGTGAGTATTAAGACCTTACACACAGGTATACATGGTGAGTATTAAGACCTTACACACAGGTATACATGGTGAGTATTAAGACCTTACACACAGGTATACATGGTGAGTATTAAGACTTTATACACAGGTAATTTCACATAAATTTACCTGTACAGTATACCAAAATAATTACTCTTATATAATTAACAGCCTTTACAGTATTAGAATTACAGAATTACAGTTAAAATAACATTACCGTTTACGATGTTACAATTACATTATAACAGTTACAGTATTATTGATACATTTCTTTACTGTATTTAACGTTATTAGACTACAAATACAATATTACATTTGGTATATCACTTACAGTAATAAATTAAAAAATAATGTAATAGTAATAATGCTAAAATCTATAATATTACAGTTAAGTTCTGAAATTCACACATCTTGTATTCTGAATTCCTTGTTTTCTAATGTAATCCGAGTTACTGTATATTCACCTGTAATCTTGGACTTCTCAGGTATTGTACAGTAAAAAAAAATAAAGTTATCCAATGTCATGTTACAGTTCTTGTTGACAATGGCGACTGGTGAGAAGCGCTGGGCCGTGTATGATGATGTTATGGTTTCAGCGAACCTTACTCTCGTCTCTACTGGGTTATACCACGGCGATGCTGGTAAGATGTTGGATTACCTAGCTTTCTAATTCGTGTGTGGCTAGATGATAGGTTACGTTTTGTTATATTTGGTTACGTTACGGTAAGGTTAGGTTAGGTTATGTTACATACAGTAAATATTATATTAGACCAAATGTGTTCGGTTAGGTTAGATTAGGTTAAGATAGGTTAGTATTAGAGTGGTTAATATAAGGTGAAATAAACGGGGGTACTAATTTTCATGTGATATACTTCTACTTCCTTATATAACTCGCTTTCCTTCTCTTCCCCCTCCCTCTTCCTCCTTCTCTCCCCCTCCCCTCCCCTCTCTCTGTTCTTCCCTCCCCTCCCGTCTCTCTGTTCTTCCCTCCCCTCTCTTCTTCCCTCCCCTCCCTTCTCTCTCTTCTTCCCTCCCCTCTCTTCTTCCCTCCCCTCCCTTCTCCCTGTTATTCCCCAGTTATGTAGATTCCTTATAAATATTATTCAATATATAAGATTCCATTGACCATATAATATAACATTAAGACCAAGAAATTCATATATCAAGAATTACATTTAAATATCGAAGTGGATATTACGTTACCATTAAGCTATTTAATTTCAGATCTTAATTATTTATTTGTATGTTAACCAATTATTTCTATTGTATTCAAAGGTAATTAAAAACTTTCTTATTTTGCCTTAATTTGTCGTTTTTATTATTCTTTTTTTCACGCGTTATCTTTTTTCTTTCTTTCCACCGTGAATGAACGTCTTGGTGCTGCTGCTGATGGGTGTTCAGGCGACATTCTCACCACCAGCGTCTCGTCAAGTGTGGGGCCAAATTCCCTGTGGTGGCAGTGTGTGGTGGAGCCATGTGTGAGTGTTGCCCTTCTCTGTGTCTTGGTGAGAGAGAGAGAGAGAGAGAGAGAGAGAGAGAGAGAGAGAGAGAGAGAGAGAGAGAGCAGAAGTGCAAATAACCTAACCTAACCTCATCACTTTGCAGGCCACTTTTGATATGAGTAAAATCACCTGGACTCCCTTGATTGGAGAAACCGTAAAGAAAGTTCAGCTTTACGTCCGTCCCCGAAACTACGATATTGGTAAGATTTTTTTTATTATTTGTCATCTCTGTATCTCACTTCAGTCTTTCTCATATCCCGTCTTATCTGGGAGAATCAGTCTTTTGTACATCAACAAGAAAAGTCATGTTTTAATAGTCTTACTTCACTAAAAAATATCAGCCATACTTAAACAGAAAAGTCAGTCTTACTTCACTAAAATGGTCAGTTTTACTTCACAAGAAAATTCATTCTTACTAAAGTCTTTCAAAAACTTAAAAAAAAATCAGTCTTAATACAGTCTTGCTTCACTAGAAACCTTAATCTCACTTCACAGGGATTAACTCCAGTCAAATCTACAGGTGTGTCGTGTAGGACTGAGATCGGCTTAGACCCCCTAGAGATGTCTACCTTTACCTACAATATGACGATGAGTCGAGGTGTGGGGACGACCTTCTCCTACATGTGTCAGGGGGACCTGAGGGAGGGTGTCGTGGGAGGAGGGTCGAGGACAGTGAGTGGTACGTCACAGTGTCTCGACACTTTGGTCTGGGATTTCCTGCCTCAATTACCGTGTACAGGTAAGTCGGGTCTCAGGTATATTGTTGTCTGTTTTCATTTTTTTTTCTCAATATTTTTAATTTTCTCTTCGTCTGTCTGTCTGTGTGTCCATCTGTCTCTTAATAAGATAAAATAAGTTACTGTCTTTTAAATATGGATTTGCAATCAATCTATCTGTCTATTTATCTCTGCCACACTAATACCTTGACCCTTCCCTCCCTGGCAGCTTATGTGGAGTGTACTGTAGGTTACTTCAAGACCTCTGCTGGAACCTGTCTAAAATTCTCCTCCCAAGACCTTAGTTTTGGGATGGTCACCGCTTCTCTCGTGTAAGTTATTCCTTGATGCTGGTGTTGGAGGACTAGTTACCTCTTCCTCGAGTAAGTTGTTCCTTGATGCTGGTGTTGGAGGACTAGTTACCTCTTCCTCGAGTAAGTTGTTCCTTGATGCTGGTGTTAAAGGACTAGTTACCTCTTCCTCGAGTAAGTTGTTCCTTGATGCTGGTGTTGGAGGACTAGTTACCCCTTCCTCGAGTAAGTTGTTCCTTGATACTGGCGTTGGAGGACTAGTTACCTCTTCCTCGAGTAAGTTGTCTTGATGCTGTGTTGGAGGACTAGCTACCCTTCCTCGAGTGGGGGTTGTCTTGATACTGGTGTTGGAGGATTAGTTACTCTTCCTCGAGTAGTTGTCTGATGCTGGTGTTGGAGGACCATACTCTCTCCTCGTAAGTTATTCCTGATGGTGTTGGAGGACTAGTTACTCCTTCCCGGAGTAAGTTGGGTTCTTGATGCTGGTGTTGGAGGACTAGTTACCTCTTCCTCGAGTAAGTTGTTCCTTGATGCTGGTGTTGGAGGACTAGTTACCTCTTCCTCGAGTAAGTTGTTCCTTGATGCTGGTGTTAAAGGACTAGTTACCTCTTCCTCGAGTAAGTTGTTCCTTGATGCTGGTGTTGGAGGACTAGTTACCCCTTCCTCGAGTAAGTTGTTCCTTGATACTGGCGTTGGAGGACTAGTTACCTCTTCCTCTAGTAAGTTGTTCCTTGATGCTGGTGTTGGAGGACTAGTTACCCCTTCCTCGAGTAAGTTGTTCCTTGATACTGGTGTTGGAGGACTAGTTACCTCTTCCTCGAGTAAGTTGTTCCTTGATGCTGGTGTTGGAGGACTAGTTACCTCTTCCTCGAGTAAGTTGTTCCTTGATGCTGGTGTTAGAGGACTAGTTACCTCTTCCTCGAGTAAGTTGTTCCTTGATGCTGGTGTTAAAGGACTAGTTACCTCTTCCTCGAGTAAGTTGTTCCTTGATGCTGGTGTTGGAGGACTAGTTACCTCTTCCTCGAGTAAGTTGTTCCTTGATGCTGGTGTTGGAGGACTAGTTACCTCTTCCTCGAGTAAGTTGTTCCTTGATGCTGGTGTTGAAGGACTAGTTACCTCTTCCTCGAGTAAGTTGTTCCTTGATGCTGGTGTTGAAGGACTAGTTACCTCTTCCTCGAGTAAGTTGTTCCTTGATGCTGGTGTTGAAGTAGCACCTTTAGTAAGTAGTACCTTGATAATGTCATATGTAATTATCGTCACTATTTTTCTCTCGAGTAACAGATACTAATTTGTCTGTCTGTCTGTCTGTCTGTCTGTCTGTCTGTCTGTGTAACATAACAAGTAATAACCTCCTTTTCTCTGCCTCTTTAGCTCTTTCTCTTTCATTCACTTAACGGATGACATGAACTCATTCTCTCTTTTTCTGTCTCTCACCCTTTCTCTCTTTCTCTTAATCTTTCCTTTTCTCTCTACGTTTCTCACTCTCTCGCTTTCTTTTTTTTTCTTTCTCAATTCCCTCTCTCTCGCTCACTCTTTCTTTTTTCCTCTCTCACACACTCTCTCTTGCATTGTTTTTTTCTCTTATTTCTCCCTCTCTCTCTCTCTCTCTCTTTCTCTTACTGTTTTTCTCTCACTCTCTCACTTGCTCTTTTTTTTCTCTCATTTTCTCTTTCTTTCACTCTATTGACTCTCGCACCTTCCCTCCTCAGATGTAGCCAAGAAGGAGACTCACTTGCTCGTATCTACAACGAGACCGACCTCTCCACAGCTGTCCTTGGCAACTTCTACTACACCGCCCATATCTTGTACGTAATCCTTCAATCCGTCCTTATTTTGTACTCAAATGTTGATTCTTCCTCCCCCTTTTCCCTCGTCCGTAACTTCCTTCTTCCCCTTGTCCGTATTTTTTTCTTCCATCCCGTCCGTATCTTCATCCTCCACCTCGTCCGTATTTTGTGTGTAATCCTCCATCCCGTCCTTATTTTGTAATGTAGATGCTTCCATCCTGTCCGTAATTCCTCCACTCCCTCGTCTGTATCTTTCTACACCCTCTCGTCCGTATAGCCTCCACCACCCTGTCCTTATCTTGAACGTAACTTCCTCCTCTGGTACGTAGATTTACACACAAGCATCGAGTACGGTACATAGGTAACACTCTAACCAAATGTAACATAAACTTAATCTAACCTAACCTATTTTAACCTAACGAAACCTAACCTTAACTAACCAAACCTAAACGAACCAAAACTTAAGATTATTTCTCAGCCTAAAATATTGTATTCCTATTGGTTCATTGGCGATTTTTCTTATCCAATTGCAGCAATGGGACGACTGTTTCTCCCGCGCCTCCACCAATAGCATGCGCCGCAGGGGAGACTTGTATCGTGAGTGCCACTTTCTTTTGATTTACGCAGGAGTTAAGAGACAGTGCCAGTTAGGTGTATTAGTGTAGGCTGTAGGGTGACTGTAGCGGTGACTGTAGCGGTGACTGTAGCGGTGCCAATCCCAAAGGTGTATTACACTAGTGTAGGAAAGACAATGTTGTTGGCTGAAATATGTCCGTGTAGGTGTGTCAGTATAGTCCATGAACTCTACTTAGTGGTGCCCTGTGTCCTGGCCCTTACAGGTAGACGCAACCCTGCCCTGCCTAGCTATGGGTCTGGACGCTCAGGGCCTTGCCGTGGCTAGGGCCCAGGACTGCTTACGGGATGACACCTACGCCCTGTGTATGAATCCAGGTAAGTCATACCTATAATGACCCTTAACACCTGTACGTGATTCTCAACACCTGTACGTGACTCTCAACACCTGTACGTGACTCTCAACACCTGTACTTGACTCTCAACACCTGTATGTGACTCTCAACACCTGTACGTGACTCTCAACACCTGTACGTTATTCTCAACACCTGTACGTGACTCTCAACACCTGTACGTGACTCTCAACACCTGTACGTGACTCTCAACACCTGTACGTGACTCTCAACACCTGTACGAGACTCTCAACACCTGTACGAGACTCTCAACACCTGTACGAGACTCTCAACACCTGTACGAGACTCTCAACACCTGTACGAGACTCTCCTCCCTCTCTATCTACTTTCATCTCTCCCCCCCATCTCTAACTATCCTTCTCCCTCCTGGCCCCTGCCTATCATCATCTAATCCATCTCTCCACCCCCTTTCTCTCGTCTCTACCCCTTGTCCCTGCCTTCCTATCCACTAATTCATCACTCTCCCCCTCCCTTCCCTCTCTATCCCTCCTCGTCCCTTCCCCTCCCTATCTACTAATCCATCTCTTCCTCTCTTCCTCCTTCCTTCCCTCCCCTTCCCTCCCCATGTACTAATCCATTACTCTCCCTCCCGTAAAGGATACTGCCCGGAGACATACACACTAAAATTAAGGGGTTTCACATGAGGTCACGAACTACCCCTAGACCGCAATGAACTCCGCGGATGAGTTAAAATACTGTTGATAGAGGCGGGGCTGCTTTGCCTACCTGGAGAGCTCTGGAGGCGATGCAGTTCTTGGCCCAGTTAAGGATGCAGAGAAGAGAGAGAGAGAGAGAGAGAGAGAGAGAGAGAGAGGAGAGAGAGAGAGAGAGAGAGAGAGAGAGAGAGAGGAGAGAGAGAGAGAGAGAGAGAGAGATACAAATATGAAAAATAAAGTGAGAGAAAAATAAAAAGAGCGTGTGACAGTGAGAAAGTGAAAGAGAAAAAGAGTAAGTGACGGTGAGAGAAAAAAGAACAAGAGACAAAGAAAAAAATAAGAAAAAGTGGGAGACAGAATAAACTGAAAGAAATTGTGTGTGCGCGTGTGTGTGTATGTGTGTGTGTGTGTGTGTGTGTGTGTGTGTGTGTGTGTGTGTGTGTGTGTGTGGGAGAGAGAGAGTACATTACCATAATACATAACCCATCCGGTCTTACAGTTGCAGTACGGACAAATTCAAAATTCAGTCGAGATCCTCACACTCATCGGACTGAACAACAAGTAAGTGTTGTAGAGTAAGTGTTGTAGAGTAAGGGTTGTAAAGCAAGTGTTGTAGAGTAAGGGTTGCAGAGTAAGGGTTGTAGAGTAAGGGTTGTAAAGCAAGTGTTGCAGAATAAGGGTTGTAGAGTAAGGGTTGTAAAGTGTTGTAGAGTAAGGGTTGTAGAGCAAGTGTTGTAGAGTAAGTGTTGTAGAGTAAGTGTTGTAGAGTAAGTGTTGTAGAGTAAGTGTTGTAGAGTAAGTGTTGTAGAGTAAAGTGTTGTAGAAACAATGTTTGTAGAAAGTAAAGTGTTGTAGAGAGTAAAGAGTGTTGTAGAGTAAAGGGTTGTATGGGAAGTAAAAGTTTTAAAATGTTGTAGAAGTAGAGGTTGTAGAAACAAAGTGTTGTAAAAGTAAGTGTTGTAAGTAAGTGTTGTAGAGTAAGGGTTGTAGAAGTAGGGTTGTAAGTGTTGTAGAGTAAGGGGTTGTAAAAATGTGATGTTGGCAAGTAAGGGTTGTAAAGTGTTGTAGAAATGGGGTTGTAAGTGTTGTAGAGTAAAAGTTGCAAGTGTTATGCAAGTAAGGGTTGTAAAAAGTCAATGTAGGAAGTAAAGTTTGCAAAGTGTTGTAGAGTAAGGGTTGTAAAGTAAGTGTTGGCAACCAGAAGTAAGGGTTGTAGAGTAATGGTTGTAAAGTGTTGTAGAGTAAGGGTTGTAGAGAGTAAGTGTTGTAGAAGTAAGTGTTGCAGAGTTAAGGTGTTTGTAGAAGTAAGGGTTGTAAAGTGTTGTAGAGTAAGGGTTATGTGTAAAGTGTTGTAGAGTAAGGGTTGTAAAGTGTTTATGCCAAGTGGGGTTGTAAGAGATGTTGTAGAAGTAAGGGTTGTAGAAGTAAGGGTTGTAGAAGTAAGGGTTGTAGAAGTAGGGTTGCTTGTAAGTGTTTGTGAAACAAGGTTGTAGAGTAGTGTTGCAGAAGTTAGTGTTGTAGAAATGAGGTTGTAAAGTGTTGTAGAGTAAGTGTTATGCGTGTTTAATCAAGTAAGGGTTGTAAGTGTTGTAGAGTAAGGGTTGTAGAAGTAGAAGTGTTGTAGAGTTAGTGTTGTAGAGTAAAGGGTTGTAAAGTGTTGTAGAGTAGGGGTTGTAAAGTGTTGTGATGGGGTTGTAAAGTGTTGTAGAGTAAGGTTGTAAGTGTTGTAGAAATAAGGGTTATAGAGTGTTGTAGAAATGGTATTTGTAGAGTAAAGGCTGTAAAGTGTTGTAGAGTAAGTGTTTTAGAGTAAGTGTTGTAGAGTAAGTGTTGTAGAGTAAGGGTTGTAAAGTGTTGTAGAGTAAGGGTTGTAGAGTAAGTGTTGTAGAGTAAGGGTTGTAAAGTGTTGTAGAGTAAGTGTTGCTGAGTAAGTGTTGTAGAGTAAGTGTTGTAGAGTAAGTGTTGTAGAGTAAGTGTTGTAGAGTAAGTGTTATAGAGTAAGTGTTGTAGAGTAAGTGTTGTAGAGTAAGTGTTGTTGAGTAAGTGTTGTTGAGTAAGTGTTGTAGAGTAAGTGTTGTAGAGTAAGTGTTGTAGAGTAAGTGTTGTAAGGTAGAGTGTTGTAGAAGTAGGGTTGTAAAAGTAAGTGTTGTGAGTAAGTGTTTTAGAGTAAGTGTTGTAGAGTAAGTGTTGTAGAGTAAGTGTTGTAAGTAAGGGTTGTAAAGTGTTGTAGAGTAAGTGTTGTAGAGTAAGAAGGTTTATAAAGTGTCGTAGAGTAAGTGTTGTAGAAGTAAGTGTTGTTGTAGAGTAAGTGTTGTAGAGAGATGATGTTGTAGAAATGGGGTTGTAAAAGTAGGAGTGTTGTAGAGTAAGTGTTTAAAGTAGTGTTGTAAAGTAAATGTTGTAGAAGTAAGGGTTGTAAAGTGTTGGCAAATGGGGTTGTTGAGTAAGTGTTTTAAGTAAGGTGTTGTAGAGTTAGTGTTGTAGAAGTAAATGTTGTAGAAATAAGGTTGTAGAGTAAGTGTTGTAGAAGTAAAGTATTGTAGAGTGTTGTAGAGTAAGGGGTTGTAAAGTAAGTGTTTTAGAGTAAGTGTTGTAGAAGTGTTGTAGAGTAAGTCAATTTGTAGAAATGGGGTTGTAGATGTTGTAGAGTAAGGTTGCAGGAAAGTGTTGGAAGTAGGGTTGTAAAAAGTCGCAGCAAGTAAGTGTTGCTGAGTAAGTGTTGTAGAAGTAAGTGTTGTTGAGTAAAGTGTTGTAGAGTAAGTCATTTGTAGAGTAAGTGTTATGTAGAGTGATGGGTGTTGTGAGTAAAGTGTTGTAGAATACGTATTTATTAGGTAAGTATTTTAGAGTAAGTGTTGTAGTATAGAAGTAAGGGTTGTAAGAATTGGCTTGTAGAAATGCAAGGTTGTAGAGTAAGTGTTTTAGAGTAAGTGTTGTAGAGTAAGTGTTGTAGAGTAAGGGTTGTAAAGTGTTGTAGAGTAAGGGTTGTAGAGTAAGTGTTGTAGAGTAAGGGTTGTAAAGTGTTGTAGAGTAAGTGTTGCTGAGTAAGTGTTGTAGAGTAAGTGTTGTAGAGTAAGTGTTGTAGAGTAAGTGTTGTAGAGTAAGTGTTATAGAGTAAGTGTTGTAGAGTAAGTGTTGTTGAGTAAGTGTTGTTGAGTAAGTGTTGTAGAGTAAGTGTTGTAGAGTAAGTGTTGTAGAGTAAGTGTTGCAGAGTAAGTGTTGTAGAGTAAGTGTTGTAGAGTAAGTGTTGCAGAGTAAGTGTTGTAAAGTAAGTGTTGTAGAGTAAGTGTTGTAGAGTAAGTGTTCCAGAGTAAGTGTTGTAGTATACATACAGGTAAATGATATATAGTAGTGTAGAACTTAACCAAAAACTATATGTATATATTTTATATATGTATCTTCCGTATTACAGAACTGGATCACTGAACCTGGAAACTATGTATTCACCAAACACAAACGTGACGGAACTAGCAAAAGCGGATGAAAATAAGTACAGGTTGTTGGCAGTAAACAGCTCGAGCACTACCTACCACCTGCATTACGTCTCCTATACGACATCAGAACCCATAGACTACAGAGCGTGTCAGCTGTATGGTCCTCTAAGTAAGTAATGTTTTGTATAAGTGATGGATATTATAACACTGTGATGCAGGTAAATTTGTAAGGTGTTCAAATTGGTCTGGTGTGTGTGTGTGTAGTGCGGCTAGTTTGTTAGTGCTAAACTGCAGGCACTGCTTGCTCCCTCTCGCTTTCAGCTACCAACGATGGCTAACCCTTGTGGTGAATAGGGAAGTAACCTTGCATAAGTCATCCCCTGCCAGCACACAGCCTCTTCCTCATCAAGACTCCTGCTGTGCCTCCTCTTGGCAACACACGATAACTGGGTGCCTCGTGGGCCCAGGCTAGACCAGCAGCGGATCTCGGAGTAGCAATGGGCCCTAGAGGGACGGCGCATAGGCCCACTGGCATGTGGACACGTTCTGGCGCCTACCAAGCATTGCCCTGCTGCCTTGCAGATTAACCTTGGTAGGGATAAGGCTACGGGAGTAAACCCCGAACGAAAATTCTGCTGTGGAGCCCCGCATCAAGCAGACATGCTTACAGAGTTCCAACAAGACTCCAACGGCGGTATTGGCGGAAGAGGTGACCACCATGGGAACCCAACGACTACACCGGCGGATGAAGACAATGAAAGATGGACGGGCTACAAAGGCGAAACCCAAATCTATCGGCAGACCATTGCAACTCTCCTTCTCTCCAATCGTTGCAATTACCTGCACCACTGGATCAGGAAAAGGGAGAGCCAAGAATCTGTGGTTGCAGTCCGCACTCTTGCCTCACCACATAAGTCAATTTACGTGCAGCCATCATCCATCCCATCATATTTCTCATCATCATCAAAACCCCTTTACCCCCATAAAGTCCTATGGCGACTCACGAGTGGTGACTGGGACAAGCAGAGATGATTGCCGGGAGTCTCTAAGTCACAACTCAGCACATTACATAAGCAGAATAGATAAGATGGCCGTTTATGCACAGGGATCTAGGCAGCAGTGCAATCCGGTCCTGTTTGTGCGACTGAGCAAACCTTTTCAGGAGCCACTCTGCCCACCCCTCTGGGGGGGGGGGGGCTAGAGAAGGTGCCCTAAACAAAACCGGCCTGAAAAACAACCTGGCTGGGCAACCGCACCCAGTAAGGTGATCCTAATGCGGTCGTTTTTTTTTCAAAAGCGCCAGCGCCGGAAAGACACTGCCGCCTCCCCTCCGGTACTAGCTGCATCCCTCCACGCGTGCAACATCTGTCGACGACCCTGCAGGTCCCGTATCGGCCTCTCAAGTCACCTGAGAGCTCACCAACGAAGGTGACATCCCATGTGTGGATTGCAGGAAGCTAGACCAGTGTCGGAACCCACATCGCAGGGAGCCGACACAGGCGGCCATAGTGGATATCGCCGGGACCCAACCACCAGATGATATCCGAAATGATAGCAGTGAGTCTACTCAACCCGAAAATGTAGTACTAATAAATGCTGCTCCCTCAGTAGCAGGTGTCCACGAGGAGAATGAGAGACAGCCGCCTCAGTGGAATGGCATGTCGATGGAAAATGCAGGCGTATGGGTCAAAGAAACTTACTCAGAAATTGTCAAGTGGTCGCCTGCTAACTTATTTGAACCACCCAAGTGTGCGGCCACCAAAGAAATGATTCGGGAGATGACTCGCTTCATGACTGATTACACTCAGGACCGCTTCCTCGCCCCCCTAGCTCTTCAAATACTGGCAATAATACCACATCTATTTTGTCAGAGGACACACACAAAGGCTAAGCACAAAGAAAATGTGGCAGCAATGAAGAGAAGATTGACAATGTGGCAGACTGGGGCCCTAGATGATCTCCTATGTGAAGCAAGAACACTGCAGGAGAGACTAAAATCTACGGGTGACGGAAAGCAAAACACCGATGACGTGGCAAGAAAATTTGGAAACAAAATGCGTGTGGGAAAAGTGTCTCTCGCGGTAAGATCTCTCACACAGGAATCCTCCGGTGGGGTGATGCCAATAAACAGAGAGACATTAAAACTATTGAAAGAGAAACATCCCCCTGCAAGCGAAGATGAAGGCATCAGGTTCCAGGGTGACTATATCCCACCAAATGCTGTCCTGTTCGAGAAAATAACAGGAGAGATGGTGTGGAAAAAGGCACTGAAGACTCGAGGAGGAGCCGGCCCTTCAGGTCTGGACGCAAACGGTTGGAGAGTCATCCTCAGCACAAACAAGTTTGGCCCTGTAGCAAGCGATCTCTGCACTGCCATTGCCGCCCTTGCAAGAAAGCTTGCATCCTCTTGCTGCCATCACCTCCAGGCCCTGACGGCCTGCCGCCTTATTCCTCTGGAAAAGAAACCAGGATGTAGACCTATAGGGGTGGGGGAAGTGCTGAGGCGGATCATCGGAAAGTGCATAATGGAGGTGGTAAAGGACGATGTCAGGGCAGCAGCAGGGAACCTACAAGTGTGTGCTGGCCACCAGGCTGGTGGGGAGGCGGCCATTCACGCCATGAGATTGATATTTGAGCAGCGTGATTGTGAGGCCGTTCTCCTGGTGGATGCTTCAAACGCATTCAACATACTTAACCGCAAGGCTGCACTGCACAACATCAAGATCAAGTGTCCTAGCTTTGCGATGTATGTTGAAAATTCGTATAGGAATCCTTCAGACCTCTACATAGTAAACAACAAGGCTCTACGAGGTGATACCATCCTACAGTCGACCGAGGGAACAACACAGGGGGACCCCGTTGCAATGGCAATGTATGCAATTGGCCTATCAGTGCTCCAACAAGAAATAAAATTTGAAACAACTGGGGTCAAACAAGTGGCATATGCTGATGACCTTACAGGAGCAGGAAAAGTGGAGTGCATCAAAAAGTGGTGGGACCTGGTAACATCGCGAGGTCCACAAATAGGGTACCACCCAAACGCTAGCAAGTCCTTCCTCATCGTGAAGCCAGAACATTATGAACGGGCTTTGGAGGTTTTTGGCGGAAGTGAGGTCAAAATAACTAAGGACGGCCAAAGACATCTAGGCGCTGTAATTGGCACTACGGACTTCAAGACCGAGTACGTAGCGGGAAAGGTGAATGAGTGGGTCAGCGAAATCCAAGCTCTATCTGAGATTGCTAACACAGAGCCACATGCGGCCTTTGCAGCATTCATCCATGGAGTCAAGCATCGCTGGAACTACCTGATGCGTACCATCCCTGAGATCGGACCCCTCCTCCACCCTCTGGAAGAAGCTATCAGGGTCAAGTTCATTCCCAAACTAGTGAAACACCCTGACTTAACCCCAGCAGAAAGAACACTTCTTGCACTTCCACCAAGACTGGGAGGGATGGGACTAACTAATCCAGAGGAGATTGCTGACACTGAACATCAAAATTCACTTAAGCTCACGGCAGCCCTCACTGACCACATAATAGCCCAGAATGCATCAGGCGAAGTGGACACTAGCGAAGTAAATAAGATCCGTAGGGCCATTACAACAGATCGGCAGCACTGCCAAAATGACATGTTGCAGCAACTACTGCTGCAGGTTCCAGAAAATTTGACAAAAAAAGTAGCTATAGCGCAGGAGGTGGGCGCCTCGAACTGGTTAACTACGTTACCGATAAGGGCAAATGGTTTCAGCCTTAACAAACAAGAATTTACAGATGCCATTGCTCTAAGGTAAGGTTGGCCAGTGGATGGTTTGCCCTCCCAATGCGTGTGTGGCTCTTCCTATGACGGCGATCACGCCATGGTCTGCAAGAAGTGGGGCTTCATTTGCATGAGGCATGACGAGATAAGGGATCTCACAGCAAATATGTTGAAGGAAATCTGCCGGGACGTCATGGTAGAACCGACCCTCCTTCCACTGGATGGTGAGATCTTCCAACACAGGACTTCAAACACATCTAACGAAGCCCGTGTGGACGTCAGTGCTCGAGGATTCTGGACGCGGGGACAGCGAGCTTTCTTCGACATCAGGATTTTTGATCCCATGGCCACTTGTCACCGTAACCTAGCTCTCGATGCTGCACATAGGAGGAACGAGAACGACAAGAGAAGGGCGTATGGGGAGAGAATTCAAAACGTTGATCAAGGCAGCTTCACTCCTCTAGTGTTCACAACCTCTGGTGGGATGGGACCAAGTGCAAGATGTTTCTACGCCAGACTCGCGGAGTTGATCTCCGAACAGAAGCAGCAGCCCAGAAGTTATGTTACAGCCTGGATGAGATGTCGACTGTCCTTCTCTCTCCTTCGGTCGGCTTTGCTCTGCCTCAGGGGAACGAGAGCTTCTGCCCCTACTCCGACAACTGCTGCAGATATTGACTATGAGGCTACAGTCACCGAATGCCGCATAGATCTGCGGCTCAACTAATTTAACACAGATAGGATAGCTTATTATGTATTAGGATATTTAATATTAAGGTAAATAAATGGTGGCGAAGGTGTGGCTATTGGGGGAGGCTGGAGGCCACGAAAAAAAAAAAAAAAAAAGTAGTAGTAGTAGTAGTAGTAGTAGTAGTGTGGGTGTGTGTGTGTGTGCGTGTGTGTTATGTAATTTTACTTTATAGAATAGTGTAAAATGGACTAAAAATAATTTCAAGTTTTTTCTTTACACACGCATTCACTCTCTCTTGTTCACTCGTTTTCCTTACATACACACATAAACTGTCTGTCTGGTTGTCTCCCTCCTTCACTTTCTGCCACACGAACTCTCTGTTTCTCTAACACCCAAAAATGACCTATCTCTCTAACATACACAAAATCTATCTATCTGTCTCTCTCAGGATTTTTGTCTGTCTGTCTATCTGTCTGTCTGTCTGGTCCAAATAAGCGCCTTGTGTCAACAGGATGCTGGAGTGACCCGCCTCCCGCCTCTGAGATCATGACCCGAGAGTGGAACGGCTCCAGGGCTATGTCATCCGAGGCTATCTACAGGTCAGTGTCCGTGTCCTTTGTTCGCGTACGTGACCTTGTTTGTGCACATATTCTGGTTCGTGAATGTCATTGTTTGTGTACGTGTCCGTGTCCTTGTTTGCGTCCTTGGAAAGAATTCAGAGGAGAATGACAAGACTAATCCCGGGCATTAGGAACCTTGAGTATAGAGACAGGTTAAAGCATCTTAATTTGCACTCCCTCGAGAGACGTAGAGCGAGGGGCAACCTGATAGAGGTGTATAAGTGGAAGGCAGGGCTAAACAAAGGGGACATTACAAAGGTACTCAAACTATCCAACCAGGAGCGAACTCGTAACAATGGTTTTAAATTAGACAAATTTAGATTTAGGCGGGAAATAGGAAAACACTGGTTTGGAAACAGAGTAGTGGATGAATGGAACAAGTTACCAAATATCATCATTAACTCGAATACGCTGAATAGCTTCAAACATAGGTTGGATGCTTATATGAGCAATAGGGGTTGGGTGTAAACGGGACTACCCAGTATGGGCCAATAGGCCCGCTGCAGTTTCCTCCATTCTTATGTTCTTATGTTCTTACGTGTCCTTTGTTCGCGTACGTGACCTTGTTTGTGCACATATTCTGGTTCGTGAATGTCCTTGTTTGTGTACGTGTGCATATTCCGGGTAGCGTCCTTGTTCGTGTACGTGTCCTTGTTCGTATACATGTCCTTGTTTGTGTACGTATCCTTGCTTGTGTACGTGTCCTTTGTTCGTGTTCATGTCCTTGTTGATGTACGTGTGCATATTCCTGGTAGCGTCCTTGTTCGTGTAAGTGTCCTTGTTCGTGTACGTGTACTTGTTCGTGTAAGCGTCCTTGTTCGTGTACGTGTGCATATTCCTGATGGCGTTCTTGTTCGTGTACGTATCCTTATTCGTGTGTCTTTTGTTCGTGTACGTGTTAATGCTCTTGTTCGTGTCAATGCCCTTGTTAGGGTACATGTACATATTACTGGTAACGTCCTTGTTCGTGTACGTATCCTTGTCAGGTTTTTTTGTCCTTGTTAGCTTGTGTTTTGTTCGTGAATGTGCCCTTTGTTCGTGTTTGTGTCTTTGTTAGTTTACGTGTCCCTGTTCGTACGTGTCCTTGTTCGTAAATGTCCTTATTAGTATATGTGTCCTTGTTCGTGTATGTGTCCTTATTCGTAAATGTGTCCTTGTTCGTGTATGTGTCCTTGTTCGTGTCAGCGTCCTCGTTCGTGAATGTATCCTTGTTCGTAAATGTGTCCTTGTTCGTGTATGTGTTCTTGCTCGTGTAAATGTTCTTGTTCGTGTATGTGTTCTTGTTCGTGTATGCGTCCTTGTTCGTGAATGTGTTCTTGCTCGTGTAAATGTTCTTGTTCGTGTATATGTTCTTGTTCGTGTAAATGTCCTCATTCGTGTCAGTGTCCTCGTTCGTGTATGTGTCCGTGCTCGTATACGTGTCCTTATTAATGGAAGTGTCCTTATTTGTAAATGTGCCGTTATTCGTGTAAGTATCCTTGTTCGCGTACGTGTTTTTGTCCTTGTTCATAACAGCACGAGACTCGCATTATCATTATTCACAATGACATGAATTTCTTTTAAAACTAGTCATCATTATACTAACATCACTTACATAAAAGAGATCCCACACCTGTGTTAATTACCTGACCTTACCTGTATGTGTTATGCCAGGTGTCCCCCGGGGTACTTCGTGTATGGTTACCTGAACGTGGAGGAGTGGAAAGTCAAGTGCCGTGGTCAGCTGGGTAATTGGATCCCTGATTGGTTAAGCTGCTACGCTATCGATGGTAAGTCTTCCAGGTGACTCGTACAGGTAAACTTAATTAATTAAAATGGAGATGCTAATTTAGTGAACTGTGACCCCCAGGTTTAAGGTAATATTATTGAATTGTATCTAACTTAAACTACTTGTAAGTTAATTTAAACTATGCTTCACAATAATTAAAAACTACTCTTTTAATAAAATCTAAATTATCTAAACAATAAAACTCTTACTCCTAAAGTAATGTTATTTTATTGTTTATCATTATTTAACTTTTAGTTTTGTATTTACGACATCATTCGTTTCATTATTCCGTTTTTTATTATGTTTTTCTAGTACTTGTATCGTAGTTTCTATGTCTTCCTTCCTTTTTCCCCTCTCTCCCCCAATTTCCTCCTTTCCTCGCTTTATCTATCTGTCTGTCTCTCTCACTCCATCTCTTCCTCACCCCCCCCCCTCCATCCCCGACTCTCTCTTTCTCTCCCTCTCATTCCCATTATCCTTCTTTTCTTCTCTCCCTCACTCACTCCCCCTCTCTCTCTCTCTTATCAACAGTGTGTCACATGGTCGTCCCAGCTGCACCTTCCAACCTCACCAACATCACCACCTGGGACGACTCTTACCAGCTGAACGGCACCCTCCTATACACCTGCCCACCCAACATGACCACCCAGAGCTTAGCAGTGAACCAAAGCTTCACCTGTGTCCGCGAGGCTCTTGTTGGGGGAGGATACGACTATCTATATACCCCAGCTGTTGTGGAGCCTTGTGATGGTAGGTGCTGGTGTTATATAGGTTAGGTTAGGTTAGGTTAGGTTAGGTTAGGTTAGGTTAGATTAGGTGTGCTGTAAATTCACGTAACCTCTGTGATAGAGAGTAATTTTGCAACACGTGGAAGACTGTTTACCTCCTGTGTGAAAGTTGAACACTACATGCATACATACATACATACATAAGAACATAAGAAAATAAGGAGTCTGCAATAGGCCGGTTGGTCTGTGCCTGGCAGCTCCTGTCGAGAGTTACAACCACCCTCTATCGTCCATGAATCTATCTAGCCTCCTTTTAAAACTTTCCAGCGTTCCACCACTTACTACAAAGTTGCTAAGCTTGTTCCACTCGTCCACCACCCTGTTTGTGAACCAGTTTCTTCCTATCTCCCTCCTAAACCTAAACTTATCCAACTTGAATCCGTTGCTCCGAGTCCTATCCTGCTCGGATATTATAAGAACTTTATCTATATCCCCTTTATTGATTCCTTTCACCCACTTAAATACTTCTATCATATCTCCCCGCATTCTTCGTCTTTCTAGGGAATTCAAGTTTAGTTTCTTTAACCTATCTTGATAGGGAAGGTTTCTAAGTCCCGGAATCATTTTCCTCATTCTTCGCTGCACCGATTCCAGTGAATTGATATCCATTCTATAATAAGGGCACCAGAACTGAACAGCATAATCGAGGTGCGGCCTGACTAGCGCAAGGTATAATTGCAATATGACCTCAGCACTCTTATTACTTACACTTCAAGATATAAAACTTAATACTCTGTTTGCCTTATTTCGAACATTAACGCACTGTTTTCTAGGCAGAAGGTCCGGGATTACGAGTACCCCTAGGTCTCTTTCACAAGTCGACTTCTCTAGGTTGATGTTGCTAAGGCTGTATATATTGACAGTATTTGTTCTTCCAATATTAAGTACGCTGCACTTGCTGGTGTTGAATTTCATTTGCCATTTTTTACCACTCCTGCAGTTTATTTAAATCCTCCTGTAGTGCATTTGCATCCTGCCCAGAATTTATCTGCCGCCCTATTTTGGTGTCATCCGCAAACTTGTATATGTCACTGCTGATCCCAGTATTTAGATAGTTTATGCAGATTATGAACAGGAGTGGGCCCAGTACTGACCCCTGGGGAACCCCACTGGTTACACAGCCCTACTCAGATTTAACACCATCTACGCTGACCCTCTGTGTTCTATCGGTGAGCCATGATTTTATCCAATTTAAAACTTCCCCTCGATACCATGAGCCTTAACTTTTCTCAGAAGCCTCTGATGCGGTACTCTGTCAAATGCTTTGCTAAAGTCTAAGTAAATAACATCGTAATTTTCGTCATTATCTACTACCTCATAGACTTTCCTAAAAAACGTCAGCAGATTTGTTTGACAAGATTTTCCCTTTGTATATCTATGTTGAGAGTCGTAGATTAACTTGTTTTTCTCTAAATGCGATTGGATGCTATTTGCTATAATCGATTCAAGAAATTTCCCCACTATTGACGTCAAACTAATCGGCCGGTAATTTGACGCTGATGCTGTCTCCCCTTTTGAATATGGGTACTACATTTGCCTGTCTCCACAAGTCTGGCACAACATCCGTGTCTAATGATTTTGTAAATAAATTTACGAGGTGTCCGCTAATCTGTTCCTTAAACTCTTTCAAAACTCGAGGAAAAATTTCATCCGGCCCTGGGGATTTTGTCTTCTTTAATTTATTTATCTTCTTACGAACATCCTCTTTTCTGATAGTAATACCCTTTAGTTTCTCTTCTTCATTTCCCCTAAATGTCAGTTCCACCTCTGGCGTTTACTCGTGAATTTCTTCTGTGAAAACTATCTTCACTATCATCATCAATTCCCCTCTCTCTGAATTTAAAGGTCCCTCTTTGTCCTTGACCTTTGTTCTATATACCTGGAAAAATCCCTTGGGATTCGCCTTGGATTCTCTTGCTATCCTGATTTCGTAGTCCCTCTTTGCCTTCCGTACATTTTTCTTAACATTCCTAGATAGTTCATTATACCTATTTCTCAGATGCTCCTCCCCTCCCTTTAATTTCTTTTAAATTCCTTTCTTTATTCCTGTCATGTTAAGTTTTTTGGTCATCCACCTTAGCTCATTATTATTTGACCTAATTTTTCTGTATGGTATATTTTGTTCCTGTGCTTTACGTAGTATACTAGTGAATTTAGTATAGTCATCTTCAACTGTTGTGTCACCGGTGACCTCACCCATTCCTACCGGAGACTGCCCTGACCGTTCCCAGGTGACCTCACCTAGGTACCTTCTTAACCCCTCATAATCCGCCGATCGAAGTTTGGGACTCTGACAATATTATCATTATTTTTCGTTTCCCAATTTAGGGTAAACCTGATTTCTCTGTGATCACTGTTCCCTAGTTCTTTCCCTAATGTTATATCTCTGGCAATATTTTCTTTATTTGTTAATACTTTGTCTAATATAGGTTCTGTAATTAGTTGTTTTAAAAAGTTGTCCTGTACTGCGTCGAGGAAGCAGATTCATAGTCACCTACAATGTTGTCCCAGTCAATATTTCTGAAGTTGAAATCCCCCATAATGCACAGGTTGTTGTATCTTGCTGCCCTACTTATTTCCTGTCATATGGGCTGAGCTGATTCTTTCACTAGACTTGGGGGCCTGTAAATCACTCCCATAATTAGTTAATCCTTTCCTTCTGCAACTTCTACCCATACAGACTAAGTTCCCATTTCACCCTTTATTGTATTATTAATGCAACATTTTGATGTATCCCTGACGAAGAGTGCGACCCCTGCCCCCTTCCTACCTCCCCTGTCCTTGTGAAAAAGGTTGCACCCTTGTATGTGGTACTCAGATAAAAAGTTCTTGCTCGCCAGATTCATCCAGGTTTCGGTGACTGCTATGACGTCTACATTCTCAGTACAGACAACCGCACGCAGCAAGTCTATTTTGTTTCTAGCGTTCCTACTGTTTGTATAGTATGTATTTAAACCTACATACCTACATACATAAATAAATAAACTTTTATCTATAATGATATTCTATTTCTAATCACCAATTCCTTCCCTGCTCACAGTATGTATGGGAGAACCGGAAGTAATCCTCGCTACCAGAGAACAGGTGAACGGAACATTATACCTGATCACCGACACAATCACGGTCACCTGTAATGAGAGCCACGAGGTCACCTTCGGGTTAAATAGTCAACTAGTCACCTGTACAGAGACTGGCTGGGAGGAAGCTACACCATGTTATTTAGGTTGGTATAGATATATATATTTAAGGCTATTTGATTTATAACTTCTTCAGGACTGACATCACCTGCCCTGATTAATTACCTTCCATATCTACCTTCATATTAATTAAATCTCTATCATAATTTTCACACTAAAGACGGTTACTAAAACACCTACTGTAGGATTTTTTTTTACAATTAACAAACTAAATTGAAAATCTAATTAATGTACTTTGTTACTGGTTCATATATTATCACTTCATGTGTGTCCTTGTTACACGTACCAGGTTGTTTAGTTCAATGTTCCCGGTACAATGATGACAGAGAAGAAAGAAAGAAAGAAAGAAAGAAAGAAAGAAAGAAAATGGAAATAACGACACAAAGACATAGATAATGAAAGAGAAAATAAGTGAAGAGGAACGAGAGAGAGAGAGAGAGACAAATACAGCAAAATACTAACCGATACATGACCTCTCTCCCCCCAGCGTGTGTGGAGGCGCCAGCAATCGCCGGAGCCAACAGTACAAGGAGTAACCACACAAGTAACACACTAGGAACTCAGCTGCTGTACGAGTGTGATGCTGGCTTCTACATGCTGCCTAATGTAAACCATCTTCCAACACACTCACTCTTTCTTGACGCACTCATTCCCTTACCACGCTCTCTTAACACTGTCTTGATGGTCTTTTAAGATACCCACTCTCTTGTCACACTCTTAACAAACGCACTCACTATCTTCACACTCTTGATACACTCTTAAGAAGTGCACTCACTCTCTTAATACACAGTTAACACACTTTTGACTAATGTTTCAACACACTCTTCACCGTCTCTCTTAACACACTTTAAACATACTCACTCTCTTAACACACTCTTAATACTCTTTAACACACTCTTAATACTCTTTAACACACTTCTTCACCTGAACACGAGTTGTTCAGACACTTGTGTTATGGGATGAAAAAGTTGGGTTACATTATTTTATAGATATATAGATAGATATGCTGATCTGTGGTGTACTGGAAATATGGTCATCTCAAAAGGAAGAGTACTTGGGTTCGATTCCCTGTCAAAGTGGAACGCAACTGGAGACCTGGATATGAGTTAACATATAGATGGTTTTAGCCAGTGAGGGTGGCCAGTTGTCCGATCTTCCAGGGCCCCTCCATGATACAGGGTTACAGATAGTGTGACTGGCTGTTTGTGTTAATGTTATTGATCGTATTTGTATTTATACGGTTATTGTTATCCCTTAGTAGTAGTAGTAGTAATAGTACCATTATTACTATTATCATAACAGTTATTAACACAACCATTACCACCACCACACACACACCCGCCCAGGGCACCACTGAGTTAATCAACCAGACGACCATCACCTGTGACGCCCAGGGCTTGTGGTCCCCAGCAGCGCCTCCTCCGTGTGTCTACTGTGAGTACTGATTGATACCTCAGCCTTTCTCTCCTCCTACCTGACCCAAAACTATCGAGATTATTATTATTATTATTATTATTATTATTAATATTATTATTATTATTATTGTTATTATTATTATTATTATTATTATTATTATTATTATTATTATTATTATTATTATTATTATTATTATTAGTAGTAGTAGTAGTAGTAGTAGTAGTAGTAGTAGTCGGGTAGCTACTTTTCTATTAGGGTATTTAATTTTAAGGAAATAAAATGGCGGCAAATGTATGGCTATTGGAGGAGGCTGAAGGCCAATTTAAAAAAAAAAGTGGCGGCGGCAGCGGCGGCCACTAGGCCGGAAGTGAGTGGGGATCGCTCCGGGGTTTTCGTAAAAAAAACCGGGGTCTTAATCGGTACAACCATCCTGAATTACGGGAATACTTGTGAATGTGTAGTGCGTGAAGTGATCACAGGGTTTTCCACCCGTGAACCACTTCATATACTGGCAATAATACTCCGTCTATTCTGCCAAAAGGATTAAGTGCAAGGAAAATGTGGCAGGGATGAAGAGAAGACTGACAATGTGACAGAAAGGGGCTCTTGATGATCTCCTACGCAAGGCAAGAACACTGCAGGAGAGACTAAAGTTCATAGGAGACTGTAAGCAAGTCACTGAGGATGTTGCCAGAATGTTTGGTAACAAGATGCGTGTGAGAAAAGTGTCTTGGGGGTAAGATCTCTCAGATGAATCTTCCGGCGGTGTTCTGCCCATAAACAGAGAGACCTTAAGGAATTGAAGGAAAAACATCTCCCTGCAAGTGCAGAGGAAGGCATCAAGTTCCAGGGTGACTATGTCCCTCTAAATGCTGTCATGTTTGAAAAAATATCAGGAGGGATGGCGTGGAAAAAAGCACTGAAGAGACAGGGAGGGGCCGGCCCTTAAGGCCTGGATGCAGACGGTTGGAGAGTCATCCTCAGCACTAATAAGTTTGGTGACGCAGCAAGTGATCTCTGCAATGCCACCGCCGCCCTTGCAAGAAAGCTAGCAACCTCATGCTGCCATCACCATCATGCTCTGACGGCCTGCCGCCTCGTTCCCCTGGATAAAATCCAGGCTGTAGGCCTATAGGGGTGGGGGAAGTGCTGGGACGGATCAAGTGAAAATGCCTAATGGAGGTGGTAAATGATGATGTCAGGGCAGCTGCAGGGAACCTGCAAGTATGTGCTGGCCACCAGGCTGGGGGTGAAGCTGCCATTCACGCCATGAGAAAGATATTTGAGCAGCGTGATTGTGAGGCAGTACTCCTGGTTGACGCTTCCAACGCATTCAACATAATCAACAGCAAGGTCATACTCTACAATCTCAAGATCAAGTGTCCAAGCTTTGCAATATATTTTGAAAACACCTATAGGAACCCGTCAGACCTCTATATAACAAGCTGCGAGGCCCAGAGAGGTGATACCATCATACAATCAACTGAGGGAACAACGCAAGGGGACCCTGTTGTCATGGCAATGTGCACTAGGCCTATGCGTGCTCCAACATAGAAACACCCGAGGTCAAGCAAGTGGCATATACTGATGACCTAACAGAAGCAGGAAAAGTGGAGGACATCAAAACGTGGTGGGACCTTGTGCCATCACATAGTCCACAAATAGAGTACCACCCAAATGCCAGCAAATCCCTCCTCACTGTGAAGTTAGAATACCATGAGGTATTTAACGGAAGTGAGGTCAACATAACTAAGGACGGCCAAAGACATCTATAGTAGGTGCGGTAATCTGCACGAATGACTTCAAGACCGAGTACGTAACGGGAAAGGTAAATGAGTGGGTGAAGGAAATTCAAGCTCTGTCTGATATTGCTAAATCAGAGCCACATGCGGTGTTTGCGGCATTCTCCCATGGAGTCAAGCATCGCTGGAATTACCTGATGCGCACTCTCCCTCATATCGGGCCCCTCCATTACCTTCTGGAAGAAGCTATTTGTGTAATTTTTATTCCAAAATTAGTGAAACACTTTTACTTAACCCTAACAGAAAGGTCACTCGTTGCACTACCACCGAGACTGGGAGGAATTGGATTGACTAATCCAGAGGAGCTTACTGCCACCGAACATCAGAACACAGTCAAGCTCACGGTAGTCCTTACTGAGCACATAATAGCTCACAATGCAGCAAGTGAGATGGATACCAACGAATTAAACAAGATCCGACAGTCCACTACGACAGCACACCCAAAGTGATAAACTGGCTAACAACGTTACTAATAAGCACAAAAGGCTTCATCCTTAATAAACAAGAATTTACAGATGCCATTGCTCTATGGTATGGTTGGCCAGTGTATGGCTCATCCTACGACACTGACCACACCAAGAGGCATAGCTAAGTAAGGGATCTCACAGAAAATTTACTGAAGGAAATTTGCTACGACGACCCTTCTTCCACTGGACGGTGAGAACCTCCATCACAGGACTTCCAACATATCCAACGAAGCCCGTATGACTGTCAGCGCTCGAGAATTCTGGATGCAGGAACAGTGAGCTTTCTTTGACGTCAGAATATTCGATCCCATGGCCGCATGTCACCATAACCTGTTTCTTGAGGCTGCACACAAAAGGAACGAGAACGACAAGAATAGGGAGTAAACCAAGAGAATTCAGAATGTAGATCAAGGCAGCTTCACTCCTCTGGTGTTCACAACCTCTGGCGGGATGGGACTAAGTGCTGGGTGGTTTTACTCAAGATTGGCCGAGGTGTTATCTGAGCAGAAGCAGGAGCCCAGAAGCCACGTTACAGCCTTGTTGAGATGTCGACTGTCCTTCTCTCTGCTTAGGTCTGCATTGCTTTGCCTCAAGGAAACGAGATCTTCGTCTCCAAAGCAAACAACAGTCGCAGATATTGACTTTGAGATTAACAGTCACTGAATGCCGCATAGATCTGCGGCTTCAATAACTCAACACACCTAGGGTAGCTACTTTTGTAATAGGATATTTATTATTAAGGCGATAAATGGCGCCGAAGGTGTGGCTATTAGTGGAGGCTAGAGGCCACGTTAAAAAAGCAGCAGCAGCAGCAGCAGTAGTAGTAGCAGTAGTAGTAGGAGTAGTATCATTGTTATTATCATCATTGTCGTAATCTTACCCAACAGACTGTACAGAGGAGCCAACACCAGTATCAAACGCCACTACAAATTGGACCAACACAATCAAATACGTTTTCGGGGATACAGTCACTGTCACCTGTCTGCCCAGTCACATGACGGACCTATGCAACGTAACGCAGACGCTCACCTGTACAGACACTGGCTGGACAGTTGGCACGCCTTGTTATAGAGGTTCGTTGGTGCTCCTGTTGAGAATGATTGATTTCTCCAAGTTTATGTCTCAAAAATTCGCAAGACGAAAACAGTGAAAAAATTATTACTGAAGTCGTGAGAATTTTAGCTACCTGTACCTGTCTTATTCTTAATTTATGGTAACAAAAGATGGCGTCGTAGTTGATTTAAGACTTTATACATCACTAACCTAACCTAGCCAAACACTAATCAAATTTACCCTAACTAAACTTACTATACGAGTAACCTAACCTAACTTTAATCTAACCCAACCTAACACCACCCCAGGTAGCATCATAATGTATTTACTTAATCATCAGGTAAAACAAACTTCAATAGGTGGTCCTAATCTTCAGGTAACCCCTAATCTCCATGTAATCCTAAAGTCCATTTCTTTTTCACACTCACCACCAGTATGTGTAGACGACCCACCCTCACTCAGCCTCAACATGACAGCTGGTAACCAAACAGAGAAGAGGATAGGAACCGTCCTTCAGTACACCTGCTTCACCGATCAACTAATGTTAATTAATGTAAGTGTACCTGGAGGAGGAAAGGAAATTATAGGGGAGAAGAGAAGTATTATAGGGAAGGAATTATCCGTTAGGTAGATTATAAGGAAGTATCGACCTTGGTATGTGAAAAAAAGGGTGGGTGGGTGGGAATGGATTATAGAGAGTTATAGAAGTCGGTATAAAAGGTTGTTTACTAGATTATAGGAGATTTCAGTCGGTATATAGATGTCCGCTATATTATATACTATTATAGATGATAGAAAACAGGTGCACATTAGATTATAGGCGATCATAGACCATGCTAAAAAGGTGTTTGGGAATACCAAGAAGATTATAACAACTGAGGTTAAAAAAAGAGAGTTGAAATTATAGACGATACTTAATGTAGGATTTTTTTTTATAGTTTATGTACATAGTATTGTATGTCAGTGTATGTATCACCTAGTATGTATCACCTATCTTGGAGATATTAACTGAGGATAAAACTCATTAATCCACTTATTGTATCACCTATCATGCGTTAACCCTTATATATCACCCAGTATAGATACATTAACCCTTATGTATCACCTAGTATAGATACATTAACCCTTATGTATCACCAAGTATAGATACATTAACCCTTATGTATCACCCAGTATAGATACATTAACCCTTATGTATCACCCAGTATAGATACATTAACCCTTATGTATCACCCAGTATAGATACATTAACCCTTATGTATCACCCAGTATAGATACATTAACCCTTATGTAACACCCAGTATAGATACATTGACCCTTATGTATCACCCAGTATAGATACATTAACCCTTATGTATCACCCAGTATAGATACATTAACCCTTATGTATCACCCAGTATAGATACATTGACCCTTATGTATCACCCAGTATAGATACTTTAACCCTAATGTATCACCCAGTATAGATACTTTAACCCTTATGTATCACCCAGTATAGATACATTGACCCTTATGTATCACCCAGTATAGATACATTAACCCTTATGTATCACCCAGTATAGATACATTGACCCTTATGTATCACCCAGTATAGATACATTAACCCTTATGTATCACCCAGTATAGATACATTAACCCTAATGTATTACCCAGTATAGATACATTGACCCTTATGTATCACCCAGTATAGATACATTGACCCTTATGTATCACCCAGTATAGATACATTGACCCTTATGTATCACCCAGTATAGATACATTAACCCTTATGTATCACCCAGTATAGATACATTGACCCTTATGTATCACCCAGTATAGATACATTAACCCTTATGTATCACCCATTATATATACATTAACCCTTATGTATCACCCATTATATATACATTAACCCTTATGTATCACCCATTATATATACATTAACCCTTATGTATCACCCAGTATAGATACATTAACCCTTATGTATCACCCAGTATAGATACTTTAACCCTTATGTAACACCTAGTATAGATATATTGACCCTTTATGTATCACCCATTATATATACATTAACCCTTATGTATCACCCAGTATGGATACATTAACCCTTATGTATCACCCAGTATAGATACATTAACCCTTATGTATCACCCAGTATAGATACATTAACCCTTATGTATCACCCAGTATAGATACTTTAACCCTTATGTAACACCTAGTATAGATATATTGACCCTTTATGTATCACCCATTATATATACATTAACCCTTATGTATCACCCAGTATGGATACATTAACCCTTATTTATCACCCAGTATAGATACATTGACCCTTATGTATCCCCCAGTATAGATACATTAACCCTTATGTAACACCTAGTATAGATATATTAACCCTTATGTATCACCCAGTATAGATACTTTAACCCTTATGTAACACCTAGTATAGATATATTGACCCTTTATGTATCACCCATTATATATACATTAACCCTTATGTATCACCCATTATATATACATTAACCCTTATGTATCACCTAGTATAGATACATTGACCCTTATGTATCCCCCAGTATAGATACTTTAACCCTTATGTAACACCCATTATATATACATTAACCCTTATGTATCACCCAGTATAGATACATTAACCCTTATGTAACACCTAGTATAGATATATTAACCCTTATGTATCACCCAGTATAGATACTTTAACCCTTATGTAACACCCATTATATATACATTAACCCTTATGTATCACCCATTATATATACATTAACCCTTATGTATCACCCAGTATAGATACATTGACCCTTATGTATCCCCCAGTATAGATACTTTAACCCTTATGTAACACCCAGTATAAATAAAGTAACCATATGTATCACCAAGTATATAACCACATTAACCCTTATGTATCATAGTATATACATTAACCCTTATGTATCACCCATTATATATACATTAACCCTTATGTATATAGTATAGATATATTAACCCTTATGTATCACCCAGTATAGATACTTTAACCCTTATGTAACACCCATTATATATACATTAACCCTTATGTATCACCCATTATATATACATTAACCCTTATGTATCACCCAGTATAGATACATTGACCCTTATGTATCCCCCAGTATAGATACTTTAACCCTTATGTAACACCTAGTATAGATATATTAACCCTTATGTATCACCCAGTATAGATACTTTAACCCTTATGTAACACCCATTATATATACATTAACCCTTATGTATCACCCATTATATATACATTAACCCTTATGTATCACCCAGTATGGATACATTGACCCTTATGTATCACCTAGTATAGATACATACCGTAGATACATTAACCCAACACCCTGTCATCACCATCACCCCTGCAGGAGGAGAACCATACCGTGGCGTCCACGGTGGAGGTGACGTGTGGGGAGGATGGTCTCTGGTCTCCTGTTGGGCCCATCCCTGCCTGTGGTCTCAGTGAGTACCTGTGTGTGTAGTAATAATTATAATTAACGGTTTATTGAAAAGTTCAGCAGCTCGAAGGATGAAAATATACACAAATGACTTATTACATTCATTAACATCGGTGGTTTAACAAAAGTCTTCATTAGAGAAAGGTAAAGGAACATAGAAATTAATGTTTACAGTGGAGGTCACGTAGGCCATGTGCGCTCAGGTGTTGAACAGTAACACGTTTTGTAGTGACTCTCTCACAGATGGTGTGTGTGTGTGTGTGTGTGTGTGTGTGTGTGTGTGTGTACTGATAAAAATACTAGACTTTAACAAATTGTGTTTTATGATTCTACGTTTTATGGTATCTCTTTCTTCTCTTTCTGTCTGTCACTGATCAATTTGCCTCTTTCTTTTCTCATACTATTTTTGTTAGCTCTATTTTCCAATCCCCTCTATTGTCTGTCTGTCTGTCTGTCGGTCTGTCTCTGACATCACCTGACCAGTGTGTGCCTTGACCAGGTACGACGGATCTTCCGGACTTGTTACTTAACGCGGAGCTGACAGGTCCTGATGGTCCCTACACCGTGGGGTCTACCGTTTTCTACTCATGCGCTGAGGGCTACCAGTCCTCCACCGGCGCCCTGTCCTGCCCCACCGTCTACACCGGCGTTGAGTGGGTGTTGGAGGACTCCGGCTTCACGTGTTTATACTGTAAGTATTTGAGGCTCTCCTCCCGTGGGTGAGTCACAGGGACAGAGGTATAGTACACAAGTCTAGGGATGGACCTGTGTTGAGGCCAGAGTGTTCCTCTGGTGGACGTGGATCACTGGGTGTAGGAGACAGTGTCTGGGTGAGCCACTACAGAAATATACACACATGTGTACAGGTGAAGTGGCAAGATAAGACACTGTCAATATCCTGTTGATCCACATGCACTGGTTCACATCCCCGCCTTGAACACGTACGGTACATTCCTATATTTTTGTAACTCTTTCCTGTATATATATATATACATATATATATATATATATATATATATATATATATATATATATATATATATATATATATATATATATATATATATATATATATATATATATATATATATATATATATATATTCTTATTTTTTTAAGCATACTGATATAAACAATGTAAAATTGAAATACTGAATATAGTGTTCGTATATATGGTTTACAGTATATGAATGACTATATTGATATATTGATATAATTGATATGATTTTCCTTATGGCTATTAAGACCAAAACTGTGTGTGTGTGTGTGTGTGTGTGTGTGTGTGTGTGTGTGTGTGTGTGTGTGTGAGAGAGTGTGAGTTTCCCTCCTGCTGACTAGCGTCAATATAAATTAAACAATATAACAAATTTCCAAAGGTGTTGCTTATAAAACATAACACAGGTAATCGGGCTTCCATGTGAACAATAAAACACAGACAGATATCAGTTCTGTTATGTACAAACACACACACACACACACACACACACACACACACACACACACACTCCAGTAAACACACTCTTCTTTACATTTCACAATCACTCACACACTCAAACTCATTCACCCTTCTCACGTTCTCTCTCTCTCTCTCTCCCTCTTTACCACTAACCATAAAATATAATATTCGTGTATAATTTCTCACATGAAGAATTTACGACAGATTTTTTTATGTATAAACAATAAAAAACTATTTACTGTATTCAAATGTTTTAAAATTTTCCTTTCGTAGTTTGGTATTGTATAAATTGTATTTTTTGTATGAGTGAATGATGACCTCTAGTACCCCTCAGTCACTTAGCTGGGCGTCTGGTGAAATATAATCTGGTTTATTAACATTAAAGAAAATTGAACATATAAGACTGTCCTACGGTGTTGAGACACAAATAAGGAACGAGATGATAATGTCAGGTGCATCAAAGTCATCATCATCATCATCATCACCTCCACCACCACCACCGCCATCATCATCATCATCGCCACCACCATCATCATCACCGCCATCATCACTGCCTCCACCATCATCATCACCATTATCACCGCTAATCATCCCTTTTATTATTATTATCACCACCACCATCATTATCATCATCATCATCACTAATACCACCACCACCACCACCATGATCATCATACTTAAACATACCCTGTACTTGTGTTTATGTGGGGCTAGTCATTATACGGCTGGCAGCATATACAGTACACTACATACATACATACATAGTCAGTTGCCACAATACAATGAAATGAATTTGGTTAAAACTCCCTCAGGCAGAACAAAAAAAAAAAAGTCAGTTAGTTCGTAAGTCAGGCAAGGCAAATAATAGGTTATCTACCGTAGGCAAAATAGGGACCACATTTCATGAAGAATCGACCACAGACAGGAATAGTAGCAATGAGACGCCTTCAAGATGTGGAACTAAGAGCCCTGGAGTAACACTGATTCATTTGATAATTTAACGTTATTTAAGACTATAAAGAACATTCTATTTTTATTTTTCTAGGAATCGCTTTACTGTTAATTATTGTTTATATACCTACACCGTCTTTAGGCATTGTTTGTAAGGGCAGACATGACTATTATTTACTATAGTTACCGTTATATATTTTCTCTTATAACAAATTAAAGAAAACGATAACACCCAACTAGGTGACACAGCAGCGATGACTAAAGGTTTCCGTGTACTCAAGGAAAACAAAAACAACATGGGTGTGTCCGTGATAGGGAGAGAATTGTAGTGTCCGTGATAGGTAGGGAGTTATTGTGCTCATGATAGGATAGGAAGGATATTGTGCGTTATTGATGGACGGGTACACGTAAGTATATGAGTAAATATTATAACATTTGTTCCTATACTGTACTTTATTTATTTCAGTTCATTCTCTAATTAATTCTGTCTATTCATTACAATAATTCATTACAATTATTCTTTCTCCTCTTTTACGTTATTTACATTATCGTCATTTAATTACGTATACTCGTCCACCTATTACTAGGAAATAAGTATTGTCAATATATTAGTTATGGGAAATTTAACGAGAAATCTATGTTTCTTAATTAATATAAAAAACACAGTAGGAAGCTTCACTTTATACCCGTATGACCAAAGACACATTCACCTCGTTTACAGCCCCAAGTCATTTGACAAAGTCCCACTTGTACGACGAAGCCTCTAAGATCCAGGAACATGGCATTACAAACAAGATTTTGACGTGATTTAACAACTGGCTCGAAGACAAGGAACATATATGAAAATATATCGAGCCACATTGTCAAATTTGCGGACGACACAAAGATATTTGGGAAGGTAGCAAGTCAAAACGATGTTGCAACAATGCAGGAAGGCCTAAATGAGCTGTTCAAATGGTCTCGAGACTGGCAAATTCTGTTTAACATTACGTAATGTAAGACCTTACGCAGTTGGATACAACAACCCTAAGCACAACTATTTTATTAATAACACTTTCCTGGATACTGTCGAGAAAGATCTTGGCGTTGTGATAGATCATTCACTGAAGGCGGCCTAACAAGGGGGGGCAGCAGTGAAGAAAGCCAATCGATATTTGGGAATTATAAAGCATAACTTTTAATACACACACTGGTAAATGCTCCTTCAGCTGTACAAAACTCAAGTACATCCCAGTCTGGATTACTGAATACAGGCATGGAATCCCAACCTCCAGAATGATCTAACATCCCTAGAAAAGGTACAACACAGAGCGACTAAACTAATTCCGGTATGTTATTTCGATTATCCAAGACTAACAGCCCTTCAGACAAGGTACAACAGTGTAGATCTTATTAAAACATTCAAAATCCTGAAGAGATGGAAAATATAAACCCGGGTCATTTGTTTGTGATGTCACGCACCACCAACACGAAAGGACATAATTACATGCTTGCCAAGTTATCACACAGAGGACGATAGACCCATAGAAAGGTGAATAGTTTTTTCTTATATAGTTTTAAATAATATAAATAACACAATAAAGATATAGAAAGACGCAGTAACTAATGCATTAATATATCAACGAATACCAGAGGAAAACCTATAGTAATATATCAGTCTTTTTCTATTATTTTCTTCGGTCAGTAAGATGATGAAATAAGAGAAAGAATAAAGACTAAAGGAGGAATACTTATGATAAATATAGATAATCATAGAAAAGAGGTAATAAATACTTAAATAAATACAGATAATCACAGAGAGTAAATAAAAGAGGAATTTAGCCATGAGGAAGAGAGGAAACAATATCCCATCATGAACACATTATCTAAGGCAACAGATGGTGTGGGTCAGGTAACAAACACGTCTGGCCAGGTGAGGGTACAGGTTAATTTTCTGCTCCGGAGGCGTTGTATTACTTCTACTGACGCCTCTTATCAACAGTCTTCTGCCTCACCCTCCACACGTTAAAACTTTCCTCCTCCTCCTCCGTGTAGCTAACTGGACCAAGGAGAACAACACTACTAGCTGACTCACATAAACATCGACGTAAACTGGACCAAGGAGAACAACACTACTAGCTGACTCACATAAACATCGACGTAAACTGGACCAAGGAGAACAATACTACTAGCTGACTCACATAAACATCGACGTAAACTGGACCAAGGAGAACAACACTACTAGCTGACTCACATAAACATCGACGTAAACTGGACCAAGAAGAACAACACTACTAACTGACTCACATAAACATCGACGTAAACTGGACCAGGAGAACAACACTACTAGCTGACTCACATAAACATCGACGTAAACTGGACCAAGGAGAACAACACTACTAGCTGACTCACATAAACATCGACGTAAACTGGACCAAGGAGAACAACACTACTAACTGACTCACATAAACATCGACGTAAACTGGACCAAGGAGAACAACACTACTAACTGACTCACATAAACATCGACGTAAACTGGACCAAGGAGAACAACACTACTAACTGACTCACATAAACATCGACGTAAACTGGACCAAGGAGGACAATACTACTAGCTGACTCACATAAACATCGACGTAAACTGGACCAAGGAGGACAACACTACTAACAACTTTCACGCAAACATCGACGTAAACTGGACCAAGGAGGAACAACTGCTAGCTGACTCACGCAACATCGACGTAAAGCTGGACCAAGAACAACACTGCAAACATGACTCACATAAACATCGACGTAAACTGGACCAAGGAGAACAACACTACTAACTGACTCACATAAACATCGACGTAAACTGGACCAAGGAGAACAACACTACTAACTGACTCACATAAACATCGACGTAAACTGGACCAAGGAGGACAACACTACTAACTGACTCACATAAACATCGACGTAAACTGGACCAAGGAGAACAACACTACTAGCTGACTCACATAAACATCGACGTAAACTGGACCAAGGAGAACAACACTACTAGCTGACTCACATAAACATCGACGTAAACTGGACCAAGGAGGACAACACTACTAGCTGACTCACATAAACATCGACGTAAACTGGACCAAGGAGAACAACACTACTAGCTGACTCACATAAACATCGACGTAAACTGGACCAAGGAGAACAACACTGCAGCTGACTCCATAAGCATCGACGTAAACTGGACCAGGAAGAACAACACCACTAGCTGACTCACATAAACATCGACGTAAACTGGTTAAGGAGGTTAACACTACTAACGACTCCATAAACTCGATAAACTGGACCAAGGAGGACAACACTACTGTGACTCATAAACATCGACGTAAACTGGACCAAGGAGAACAACACTACTAGCTGACTCACATAAACATCGACGTAAACTGGACCAAGGAGGACAACACTACTAACTGACTCACATAAACATCGACGTAAACTGGACCAAGGAGAACAACACTACTAACTGACTCACATAAACATCGACGTAAACTGGACCAAGGAGAACAACACTACTAGCTGACTCAATTACATTATGCAAGGATAGGTTA